GTAGCTATAATAAGAGAGATGTCCTTCATATATAGAAGTTCTTTTAAGATGGTAACATTTTATGAGGGAAACTTATTGATTAATGGTTGTTTTTAAAATTAACTTACCTGGGGTGTAATTTTTAATTAGACTTCTTACTAAGAAGCCTTAGTGTTTAAAATGTGCTATTCATTCTGTTACGATCTTTCACAGCCACATAAAGGGCTTTCACATACTTCCTGAGTGAAACTGTGTTGCTGTTTGTTTAAGGACTGAACTCTGAGGAAATGTTTTCACATACATTAATTTATGAAAGTGGGTTCTATTCAGTGAAGACAAATCACAGAGCTTATCTCAATCCCTGAGCATGAATTTACTTTAAATATCCTATGAGTTAAAAAATAAAACAAGAGTTTTATAAGTTCTGAGTCCTATTTACTGTAACTGTAGAGTTTCATAAGACTTTTTCTTATGAAAAATTGTCATAAAGTACCTTATTTAATATTAAACAGAAGTACAGAAGACAGAGTAATCAATAAACCATACTTGAAATCACACTTCAGCTTATATAAACCCCACAGAGGTAAACCTGGAAAAGATTAATTTTTAGTGTACTGGAAATTCTCAAAAATTTCAGAATGCAAAGGAAAAGTAATATGATATTAGTGCCTATTCAGCCAAACTACAAGCAAGTTCTGTAGCATCCATTCTTTATTTATTTTCAAAGATATAGTGAGTGTTTACCATTTGCTGGGTGTTTAGAAATGGATACAGAAAAAAAAATAGTTCTTTTCCATTCCCTGTCTTTGTTATTTTTTTATGATTCCAGGTAAACATCTTCGTCTTGTATGGAAAGAGCTCATAGAGCAATAAAGGAAAACACTTTCCACTCCATTTTGTAATCTGCGTCCTGTTGGTAGTGATGGTGGGCAGGGGGTGGGGTGGGGATAAAGTGTATGGTCTCTAACGGGCTTCTTGCCATCCCAGAGCAAGGGTTCAGAGATAATGTCCTCTAACGAAGTTCTGTTTCCTAAAATGCACAATGCTGTGGTTAGTTATAGTTCTGGTATAAAGAACGATCTCCTTAGCTGCAGGATGTTCTTAGGAGGGAGCATTTACTAGTAGATACTGTGTTTTGGTTAGTAACATTTCTTGGCCAATTATACATATCACCAAACCTGTTCTTCCTTCTCCCAACAATACTCCAGGAAAGGCTATGTCCCAGAGGAGACCTGTTTCTTTCCAGAACTGGGGTGCTTAGCCATTTGATGAACCACAGTCCAATGGCTGGAGTTTTTGTCAGTCTGCAGACTAGTCTCCCAATCAGGATTAATGCTCAATTACTTTTTGAAGACCCCCAGGCAAAGAGATGTAGTTCAGACCCTTCAAGACTGACAAAACATGGTATTAGCATACATAGTATCCGTCTGGAAAACCTTGGAGTAGATGGACTATATAAGGTGTGCTCACCTATATGCTGAAGCCATGGAGTGAATTGTACATGTTTATACATGAAAGAAGAGACAATTTCAGGCTTTTCCTTCCAAATCCACAGTCCTCTTGCCAAAAGCTTCCAGCCAAGCTAAGCATATATACTTTTAACTTTGTTTTACCAGCAGGTTAGTCCAGGATATTCTACCAGCCAGAAAGATGTTTTGACAGAGGCCTTCAAGGGGTAGTAATGATGTTTTTTAGAGATTAAGAACATTAATGAAAAACAATTTCAGACTAGACTTGGCAAATGAAATGAACCACAGACTTGGAAATAGCCTTGAAGATGACTTAATGTTTTCAGTTGTCAGTGGGAAAAGTGAAGCTGAGCGCCTAACTATCCAATTCAAGTTGTTTGAGCTTAGTTAAATAAGATCAGAGCCAGGCCTTATTTGCAATGGCTGATTTGCAGTTCCACTCCTCTATGCTGATTCATTGTTTTAACGAACCAACAAAAAATGGCAGTTGGCTTTAAGAGGGTTTTTTTTTTTTTTTTTAAGATTTTATTTATTTATTTGACAGAGAGAGATCACAAGTAGGCAGAGAGACAGGTAGAGAGAAAGGGAGGAAGCAGGCTCCCTGCTGAGCAGAGAGCCTGATGCGGGGCTCGATCCCAGGACCCTAGGATCACGACCTGAGCTGAAGGCAGAGGCTTTAACCCACTGAGCCACCCAGGTGCCCCAACTGTAAGAGTTTAGGGTGGACAAGGAATTCGAGTAGAAATGAAATTTTTTTATTAATTATTTTTATTAACAAATAATATATTATTTGCCCCAGGGGTACAGGTCTGTGAATCTTCAGGCTTACACATTTCACAGCACTCACCGTATCACATACCCTCCCCAATGTCCATAACCCAACCATCCTCTCTCCATACCCCCAGCAACTCTCAGTTTTGTGAGATTAAGCATCTCTTATGGTTTGTCTCCTTCCGGATCCCATCTTGTTTCATTTTTTCCTTCCCTAACCCCCCAAAGCCCCTACCCTGCTTCTCAGATTCCTCATATCAGGGAGGTCATATGATAATTGTCTTTCTCTGATTGACTTATAGAAATGAAAAATTTTAAAGGGAGTTACATTAATGTTTTTCGACTTGGGAGGGATTTTGTTTATTAGATCCCTTTCCTTCCTGATATGCCTCTAGAGTTCCCGTTTATTAGACCAGTTTTTTTTTACTTTGTTTATAAATTTGTGACATACTTTTGATACTTGGACACACTTTAATTAAAAACATGTTTCTTCTTTCTCATCACCTTTTCATTTGATGAAACTGTTGCCACTGCTAAATTGCAGCTGTTAACATCTTCTCAGTGACTTATTAGAATAGGCACAGTTCTCAATTGCTGTTAGAATAAAAAGGAAAAAAAAGTATACATAATTTGAGAAAAAGAACATGTCATACTATTAAGAGAAAAGATTTAAGCTTTCTGGTGTGTTTGAGGAGAATTACTAGCGTTTAACATCATTGCTCCAGTTTGGGGAGCTAAGATTAGGATTACCTTTTTGAAATCTTTACCTTTTAATTTTTATTTATTATTTTTTAAAGATTTTATTTATTTATTTGACAGAGAGAGAGAGAGAGAGAGATATCACAAGTAGGCAGAGAGGCAGGCAGAGAGAGAGGGGGAAGCAGGATCCCTGCTGAGCAGAGAGCCCGATGCAGGTCTCCATCCCAGGACTCTGAGATCATGACCTTAGCCAAAGGCAGAGGCTTAACCCACTGAGCCACCCAGGTGCCCCAAATCTTTACCTTTAAAAGATTGATTTATTTATTTGAGAGAGAGAGCATGAGCAAGGGTAAGGGCAGAGAGAGAATCCTCAGGCAGATTCCCTAGCATGGAGTCTGACTTGCGGCTTGATCCCTGGACCCTGAGATCATGACCTGAGCCAAAATCAAAAGTAGAACACTCATCTGATTAAGCTGCCCAGGTGTGCCTTCATTGTACTTTAATGATCCATATAGCACTAAAAACTCATTTCTCAAATGTTAGATTTGTGTTCCACAGTTAGGGAATAACTAGCTATGAGATAGGAGTGGGTTGAGCAAAGTTCTATGAGTATGAGAAAATTTGAGTATTATAGAATATGGAGAGGGTAGACATTCCTAGAGTGGTATTTTTAAACCTTGGTTTAAAACCTTGAGAGTTTAAAAGACTCAGACCAAAGAATCAGAATACTTGGATTGGAGAATCTGTATCTTTTAGAAGTTCCCTAGGTAGTTCCAGTGCTTAGGCAGGGGTGCAAAACCTCTATGATAGGATGTTAGGATGTTGATATGGGAGGATGATGATGGTGGTGATGGTGTGAAGTGGGCAGGCAGGAGAAAGCTCAGACTGATTGGCAGTGTCTGCCTTGGATGTCCGCAGTTGTGATGGTAAAAATGTCATTGTTACTTGCCATTTTAGGATTAGAATCTGAATTGCCTGTTAAGGTAGTTGAATATTATTTTGAAGAACTGACAGAGTCCTGACTCTCCTTTCCATTAAGAACAAACACTCATGAATGTTCTGCTGCAAATGCTCTTGGTTTAAAAGCAGTATGATCTTTTCTTACAATTAAGGACATTAAATGCTTATTTTAAGAGTGCATATTATGATAGTGTATTTACTATCATAATAATAAATAGTTTATTTAGAATGGTCTAAATAACCTTTCCCAGTATTTTACAATAGAAATGTGAAGTATTTTTGAAACAGCTTTAACACAGTTGCTGCTTATAAAGAGTTCCACATAAGAAATGCATAAAGACATTTAAGCGGTCACATTTCAAAATATAATAATATGTGCCATTCAAATTCTCATTTGTAAATGAACAGAATGAACGAGAAGAATCCGAATGTGAACGAATTCCCTTCATTATTTATCCATTGTTTTGATGCAGTCCTAGGACCCATTTAAAATAAAGCATCTTTCAGGTGCATAATATTTGCCATCTGTCAGGCTGTGCTTTCTCATTAACATTGGACATGCATCCAAATTTTCAAACTTGCTTAGGAGAAGCGTGGGACTGAGAAAAGAACTTAACAATCTTCTTACTTTAAGAAGGGTTGGTAAGAGGCATGGTAGAAGGCTTGATTATTTCACAAAAATAGACGTTGAGGAATTCATGGGGAGGCAAGTGAGAGAAAAAGGCTTTTTTGGAGAATGGACCTTAACAGCCCATCAAGACGGTGTCTTGTGTCCCCCACCGTCCCTCCTCCCGGGCGGTCCCACTCCCCACCCGGCCCGCCCTCCCAGGGCTTCTGCGCTCTGCGGGTAGCCCGGGTGGGCGGGGTAGCTTCTGCAGCCGTCCTGTTCACCCGCTCAGAGGGCTGAGCGCGCTTAGCATAGGGGCATTAACTTAGCGCCTCGGGACTCTTGAGGCTCACCGGGCATCTGCGCCTCTTAGAGTCTCCAGCGCCCGGCGGGAATTCTGTCAAACTTTGTCGGCGTGTGGGTTGGAGGCAGCGGGACCACGGCCAGTCCTTGCAGCCCCCGCTCCCAGCAGGGTTAGCTGTGGACAGAGAGCACTTTGCTCACCAGACTTGGAAATGGAGCAGTCACAGTGTGGCAGCAGAGACCGCAGCGGCAGCAGCCGACCCCACTTGGCCCCAGGGCTGGTGACGGCTGCCCCTCCAACCCCGTCTTCGGCCTTGCCAGTACCCTCGGGGATTCCAGTTCCTCCAACTTTCCTGCGGCCACCCAGCCTCTTTCTGCGGGCAGCCGCAGCCGCCACGGGAAGTGGAGGCTGTCGGTCGGCTCCGGGACTGGAGAGGGGTGTGGGTGCGGTGAGCTGCGGCTACCCGCGGACACCCAAATGCGCCCGTTGTCGCAACCACGGCGTCGTATCGGCACTCAAGGGCCACAAACGCTTCTGCAGCTGGCGGGACTGCGCGTGTGCCAAGTGCACCCTGATTGCCGAGCGCCAGCGCGTCATGGCTGCCCAGGTGGCGCTGCGCCGGCAACAGGCCCAGGAAGAGAGTGAGGCCCGGGGGCTGCAGAGGCTCCTGTACCCTGGTTCCTGCGGGCCGGGGGGTCGGACATCCGGAAGCAACAGCAACAGAATGGAGAATTCCCAGGCCTCCAGCGGCCCTGCGGCGGTGACAGCAATGGAACTGAGTGCCTTGAGGCAGGCTAGTCTGGCGACGCCTGCTTTCCAAGTAGTCCATCCAGATAACGCGGAGCTAAAGCAAGGTAAGTTGGTCTTTCATTTACGCTTTGCAAAGGAAAATGGTTGTTTGGGGAAAAGACTCTTGGAAACAAGTAGCCGTGCCTTGGTAGTGGGCAAGAAAAGTTGTTTAAAAGAAGCACTCATTTAAATTCTGGGAAACTGCTCTGTAATAGGAATGTTAATGAGGATGTTAGAGACACATCACCTTGGAGGGGCTTTCTGTACCATTAGGTGGTAGGTTAAGATAATGTAAAAGTGAAGAGGGAGTGATCAGATGAGCAACTCAGGCTAGGAATAGAATTTGCACACAAGTTGATATTACTTTGGGTGAGTTAGAACTTCAGGCAGGCGTTGACTAAAATACTTAGTGAGAGAAGCTGGATTTTGGACTTGCCCTATATACTCCTTTCAGCTATAAAACCAAAGTTAATCTTCCAGTCTTGCTGGGAAAGTCACTGAAGGTTGAGAGTACAGTACCTCATCTTTTTGGCAAACCTTTGCTGGCAGCTACCAAACCTTTTTTCATCTCCTTTTCTTCCCTTAAAAATTTTAAGCACCACCCCATGACTGTTTGTTAGCCTCCAAAAGTGTAGAAAGCTCTAAATTTGAAGTTTCAGCTCTTTTCCCTAGAAAAGAAAATTAGGCTTTCCAGATTGGTAAAACCAATGGGAAGAAGAATTTCAAAGTCCAGTATTAGGGATTTCTTATCCAAGGAGTTTTAATTTTCTTCCTCTTATTTTTTGATGGCAAAATACCTCATCCCCTTTGTTATGTAAAAAAGATATAAGCATTTTTTATTAGCCTCATCTCAAATTAAGTTTTCCTGCTGATGCAAATCTCACTGTATTTCAGTGAATTTCCCAGCCCTCAACAGGTAACTCTAGGAGTGTAAATCTCATTTCAGTATTTTTGTATGAATTCAAGACAGGTTGTATCATACGAAATTCTGTGGTAATGGAAAGTAAATTATTAGAAAATTAGAAAATTTCCCCAAATTCTGAAAATTGCAGATCTTTTTGGATCACAGGATGTACTTTTGAAAAAGGCTCACTCTGTATTTAAATAAAGCATATATGATTTTGTGTTCATCTATGCCAGTGTTTTGCCCATGTTCTAGTTCCTTTCAGTGCACAAAACAGATTAAACATGTCTCATGAAAAATCAAAGCGTTCTGAAGGGCAAAGTCATTAAGCAAATGATAACTGCTATAAAAAAGAAAAATTCTGTAAACTAAATTGTCCGTGAAATCTGGCTGATATCTTTCTGTTAGACATTGATTTATATGTTTTTGGGCGGTACCCAAGGTGTTCTGTTTTATAGGGTCAGATATTTTATTTTATTCTTTGCCTCAGGTGACCTACTTTTTTGAAAAGCCACATCTGTAGCTTTTCTAACCTTACTGCATCCTCTTACCCAATATCCGTGAACTGCAATAGTCTGTTTAATTTACTCACTCATTAGATAAAGGCTAGCAGTGATTCAGAGGTGAATATGATTTTTCTGCATACAGAAAAAACTTAAAACTTATATACAGAAGAAGGAAGACTATATGTATCCAACACAAGACAAAATATACGGTGATAAAAATAAAGAAATAAAACCAGATATAGGAGTTGAGAAAACAGAGATGATGTAAATGATATCACAGTATCTTAAAGATACCTTAGTTTCCAGAGTCTTATGCAATCAGTACTTCATTGCATCATATTGTACTCTGTGAGAACAGTATAATAGTAAAAAATTGTTTTGTGCATTAATTGCTGTAGACATGAAGTTTTGATAACTTACGTGTTTGGTTGGGGGGGAGTGTATTTTGTGGATCATAGTTAGAAATAAAATGTAATGATGGACCAAAGCCAATCTCTCCCCACTTGGTAGACTTCATTAGAAAAGTTTCATTGTTTCTTTTAAAGTTGAAAATACTAGAGAGTCTTTGCAGTCTTACAGGAGCAACATCTTTTCTTTTGTCATCTCTTTGATACAATGACATAATTTTTAACCCTCAAAGTGTTAAATTGTACACACTTTAATTTTAAAATTAAGTATAGATACTTCTTTAGAATTTAGAGGAGTGCCTCTTGAGAAACCAAATCATGTATGCAAATCACTGCTTTATGCAGTATTTGTTTCGTTGGCTTCATGACATTTGTAGAAAAAGAAAATTTGACAGAAATACTCTTGAGTATCCTACTTGACAGTTTACTTTTTTTTTTAATGGAAATAAAGGTAGAATAAGTTTATCGGTTAAGAGGAAATGTAAACCAAAATAAAAGTTATTTAGTGAATGTATACATTATTATTTTCCTTGCATAAACTGTACAAAAGGCATTTAAAACGGTAGTGTTTTATTAATATTAATATGCTCAACATGTTGAGGTATAAAATCAGATTTTTGTGTAAAAATATTTTTGGAAAATTGCCCCTAATATTAGAAAGGAGTTGTGATTTGAAGTAAATAATTAATATGTTTTTTTTACAAGATGCTTTAAAGATATGTACAGATTGCAATAGTGCAATAGTGTAGTTTATGATTTTCTTTTAGAAACAACTTGACTGTAAACTTTTTTTTTGGATACTTCCCAGGGATTGAAAAAGAAAGTCCATATTTCATAGAGAATTATTAAAAAATGCCAAGTCTTTATTGTCTCTCACATAAAACAAAATATATATGAGCTCTGGTATGATATGAGATTGGTACAGTAGTGGTCATTATTGGTTTAGATTTGAAGTGAAATTAAGAATTTTTTTGTTTTTCACATTATTCAGGTAACTTAATTGGAACCTGAAATGTGAGCATTAAAGAAAAAAAAATTGAAATATAATATTATTTATTAAATAGAATATTCATTTTCATACTGAGATTGTTCCTTCCTTTGACTTCTTATCTAAACAGTCATTTCCTTCCTTTGACTTCTTATCTAAACAGTCATTTTACTTAGTTTTTTTTGTTTTGCATAGTGTCATTTTGAAAAAAAAAAAAAAGCTCCCTGAGATAACAATGAAATTTGGATAAAATTTAAGAAAATCTCAAATCACCAAATGGGGCAAATAATGTGAGATACTGGTTTCACTTTAATAGTTGGGGTAATAATAGACTTTTATCTTCTAATTTCTAAATTAACTACAGCATTTGTATTTTATATAATTTTATGATCTTGGAATAATCTAATAAATAGCATTTCCCCACTATTCCAATGTCTTTACTTCTGAATGACCTTTTAAAATTCTTATTCATTAAAGTTTCTTGCAGCAAATAAATATTACTAATATACTGTTAGTAAATGAATTACTTTATCCAGCATTATTTTCAAGTAGGCAGTACACTCTGTGTTTTGGAAAGTTTTCCTCTATTTGATTTCTTTTTTCTTTTCTATCCTCCAGAACTAAAAGAGAGTAAATGTGACTCATGCCAGAGTGGACAAGAAGAGCCAGTCTCCCATCAGTGTACTTTGGGATCATCTCCTAAGTCTAATGGTGTCATTGGAAAACAAAACATCAGGCCATCTATTTCAGAAAGTTCAAACAAGGAAGATAGTATTCAGCCTCTTCACCTTGGGGAGCTATCAGGAGGGGAAGAGAGTCCCAGATCCCTGTCATCATCTGATTTGGAATCAGGAAATGAAAGTGAGTGGGCCAAAGACTTCATTGCTGCCAGAGCCAGCCTTCCCACACTGTCCTCAAGACCAAGAGACCCTCTTGATATCCTTACCAGGATTTTTCCAAGTTATAGGCGTAGCCGGCTAGAAGGCATTCTGCACTTCTGCAAAGGGGATGTGGTTCAAGCCATTGAACAGGTCCTAAATGGGAAGGAACACCAACCAGACACCAGGGACCTAGCAAGCTCAGGAGAATTGGAAAATACAGCTTTTCAGAGAGAGTCAAATTTTAGTTTAGGTGGAATTGGTTTTGGAACTCTAGGGAATAAATCAGCTTTCTCTCCTCTTCAGACTGTTTCTGCTTCTTATGGAGGTGATTCAGGTCTCTACAGCTTAAGTCCTAGACTAGGTATCAATCCTTTACGGCTGGCATATACCTCTCCAGGAAGAGGGCTCTCTGGTTTTATGTCTCCTTACCTAACTCCAGGGTTGGTACCAGCATTGCCTTTTCGACCAGCTTTGGATTATGCGTTTTCAGGAATGGTTAGGGAATCTTCCTACCTTCCCAGTAAAGACTCAGTAACTGGTGGCAGATTGTATTCCAGGCCAAATCAGGACAATCTGTAGTATTTCTGCCTATTCTCCCTTTTTGGAGTATTTCTAGAAGCATGCAATTCAGCCCCCACACCCACACCTATTAATGTGTACTCTATTTAATGTGAATGGTGTACTAGACCTTAGAAATGCTTTTTTTTTTTTTTTACAACCAATGTGATAGATTTGAGATCGCAAGATTCTTCTTTAGCCTTTACTAAGTGAAAGAAGCATTTAAACATTATATGTGCCTTGAGTAAAGTCATTTCAGGAAATATTTTTACTTTTATGAATTTTCTCCCTAAAATATCATTTGTAGAATTCCTATTTTATAACTATACTTGTTTATTTTTTTTTTTTTGAAAAATGGAGCTTATAGTTTTAAGTGTAAAGCAACCCAGGATATAAAATGAACTAAAAGGAAGAATTGAAAAGTTGAGGTAGTTCTAAATGACTGTTACTTTGAACTTTTTCTTTCCTTCTGTTCCTTGCACACAGGAGAGAAAAAAGCTATTCAAAGTATTTTAAAGCATTTTACTCACATATAAGTAATTAATAATAAGTAAAACTTTTATGAAATTTAAATTCCTTATTTTTTCTGAATGTCTTATTTTTCATTCATATCTACCAATTTTGATAACAAGTTCCATTAATAAAACATTTCTTTTTAAAGTGAACTTTGTAAATTACACAAAGCCTATGAAGTGTATTTTAGGAAATGAGATGGCACCATCTCCTGGCCACTATCACTAATTGCATCTAAGTTCTGGTAGAGTGTAGGAATTAGAAATGAATGGTTTCCTAATAGTATAAGTTGACCTTATTTTGAAACAGTCATTTTGAATCATGCTACACAGAACTTTCATATTATAAAGTGAATGCCTACTGGGGGTTAGGATTTTAATCTTTGTATCTGGAGAAATATTCCTTTCTATACGTTTGTGGCAAGAATATGGCAGCCATTCTCAAAGTTAAAAATACTCTCACTCAGAAAATTTAAATACTTTCTCAGATAAATATTGATTGACTATAGGTAGATGAGACTTAATGCATTGAGGAGAATTATAAAATTTCCAATGGGGAAATATTATCATTACATTTTAGAGGATTCCTTGAGATTTTAATAATACTTTTTGTTTTCCATCTGGAGCATACAAAATCTTTTTATTTCAGTAAGTGGAATGTCCCTAAAACCGCTTACAAAACAATTTCGTGAAGTTTTCTTTATATGTCATCATCATCATTTTTTTAAGGACAGTAGTTACATTGTTATTGTTAGGAATAAATGAAAATGCAGTTGCGGTGTAAGATAGTTGATGAATTAGAAATAGTTTAAACAGCTTGGGCAACATGATTCACTAAAAATTTCTTAAATTATATGTATGTGTGAATGTATGTGTGTGTATATGTATGCATATATTTTACCATTAAATACCATATTAAATGCCTAGAATCTGATGATGATTTAGGATGTAGCTATATTTAATATGGTATGCGTTATTTTTAGTCGTGTGAATATGAAAAAGCAAATCTTGTAAAGATTTGTTGTAATCAGTATTCATTATTTATAAAAAAAAATTAAGATTCTAAGCCTAAACCATAATACAATGCCTGGCAACTAGTTGATATTCAATTAGTATATACTGAATGAAGGAACCATTTTGGATAATAGATCTCTCTGAGACTCTGGTAGAACCAAAGAACTTTACACCAATGGCCTACACACAGTTTTGCATATAATTTCATGGGGCTCTTGAATCTCTAAAGGCCATTCACCATTCAGTTTAGGATCCTTATGATTCTTAAATTGTTTCCATTGCATTGATTCATTTTTCAAATGCTATTTTTTTAAAAAGTATTAGGTTCTATAGAGGATACCAAATGTAAAATACTGCTCTGTCAAGGAAGTTACATTTTACAATAGAGATCTGGTTTAAAAATACAACAATGCTAGAGTAATTGGATTCTTTATGTGATTCATATAATAATGTGCATGTATCCATTTGAGAAGCTGAATTGCTTTTGAGCTGGGGGAGTATCCATTTTGAGCCATATTCAAGTGAAAACGTAATTTTATAATCTTAAAACAAGTTAATTTACATAATGCTTTATACATTTCATACACTTAACAATAATTTTAGAACTAAATAAGCTTATGGAGTAGGTCACTTTGTCCAACATTAAATTGAATGTGAGGAAATTGAGGCTCAGCATTTGTGTTGTCCATCCTCAAGGTTACCGTAATAGTGTCAGTCATCAGAAGCAGAAGTTACTTCACCAATTTCAATTAGACTGTAAGGTCTAAAGTCAATTAGACTGTCTGTCTGCTCAAAGCTTTGTATACTATCCGGTACATAATAGGTGCTCAGGTAATAGTTTTCCATGACTGAAGAAAACATAAACAAGGAAGTATTATCTTAGAATTTTGTTTATTCAGCAATTTATTAAGCCCCTACTCTGTGCCAGGCACTGTGCTAGATTCAGGGGATAAAGTGGTTAATAAGATTCAAGACTTCACCTCAAGTTGCTCATAGTCTCTATTTCCATGTGTACACAAACAGCGAATTATGCAGTGTTGGTACTGTTTGACAATGTTGGTACATCATCATGAGTTCTGTGTAATCATGAGGTTTATGCCCATGAATACTGCTTGAAGCCTGAACTCCTAAGCCACTCATTAGGAAGGGGGACAATATCTGTTTCCATGTAGTGTGTTTAGGGAAGTGCAGTTTGTTTGAGCGGTAAACAATTTTCGGGTCTATAGTGAAAGAAGTGGGCAAAGAGAAGCTTTTGTTCCCTTGAATGGAGTGTGTGGAAGTCAATTTAGCTTCCTCATAGCCTCTGGATCAGAGATATTTCCTAATCCCAATCCCAGGGGTGAGCTTTTGGAATTTCTCTGAGTCGTAGGCCTCCTGGTCTAAGCTCTCATCTGGCTAGTTTATGAAAGAGGGTTAGAGTTGAGGGGACAATTGAGAGCGTGTGATTCAAATGATCTACTTTTTTCTCTGCAACTTCTGGTGAAAGAAAAAGATTTGGGGGACTTTAAGACCTTCCTTCCTAGAAATTCCTAACTGTGAACTTGGAATTAAGAAAACATGAAGTGGCCTATTTATTCAACTCTTTATTTTTTTAATTGCCGTTTCCTTAGTTGTTTTTCTTTGAAGTTAAAAAGCCTTCACAATACAGGAGAAGCTTGGCATCAAGCACCTAATTATTTACCATTGTAGATAGAATCATTCTCCTATGTACAAAATGAGATGAAATGCATCATCAGCTTCATAAATCAAAGCTTTTCCTCTGGGCAGCATGATTCTTAAGTGTGGATGCTCACTCTTTAGGTCAAGGGTAATGGGTGAAAGTTCCCGTTCAGATCCTTTCTTCTCCCTCCTCACACATCTCCAAATACTCCTGTTATGGATGCCTGCAATGTAGAGCTGGGCCCTTGGTTATTTGGTATTGTCCCCTCCAAATTGAAGCTGTTTTGGTGTAACATTTCAGAGCATTTGTGCCAAACATTAAAATAACTTTTGTGTTTTGTTTTTGCTTACTAAGTATTACTCAAATGAGAGAAATTCATTATCATTTCCCCTTCCTGAACTCCATGTTAGTGATAGGGAATTCAAGGGAAGACAAGACGACAGGAGAAGATGTCTGTTTCTTACTTCTGCTAATTTGGTAATTTAAAAAATGTATCTTAATTCTAGACTGTCACAGTATCCTCAAGTCATAATGGCCACATTATGTAGTTTTATGAGGATGCTCATAGTTTTAAGATGGCTGTACAAATGTGGCCTTATCAAAACATCTATGTCAAAAATTGCTCTAAAATATCAAATATTTATTAAACTCCATCTTAGTGACAAGGTCATTCAAGAAAAATAGATTAGACATAGACACAATTAGGAGGAAATATATAGAAAGTTGAACAAGCATGCTAAAAAATATTAATTAGAAAATCTGTGTCAAGCAGGAAGTGTGATTCCTGTCCTTGACCTTTTATAAATTTTTTTATCAACCAGTTAGATAAAGGAATAAAGGTATAAAATTCATTGTTATCTTACTCATGGACAACACACATCTGAGAAGGGCAGCTGATCTTTTGAAGGACAGAATTAAGTTTTAAATGATAGATTTTCTCCCTCTAACTCTCATTCAAGTAAACTGATACAATATTCAAGATTCTAGGATTAAAAAAAAAACCCAACTGTACACATAGACAAGGAATAGAGACCTGGACTTACAACAGTTTTTTTTTTTTTAGAAGAGAAAGTAGTGTTATTTACTGATTGGTAAATTCACCATGAGATTACCATGTAACATGCCTGTTCTAAGAGTCAGTTGAAATTAGATTACATGAATAGGAATAAAATATGTGGAATGAGGGATGTGAGAGTACCCGGTACTTTGGAATAGCAGTTGGCCAGGTATTATCTAAAGTCATGCGATCAGTTCTGAGTGCATACACTAAGAATGATTCTAAAACCAGGAACAAAACAGAGAGGTATAAGATGCTAAGTGGTGACTGTGTTGGTGGTAGTGGTGTTTTATGAGAAAGTGTTAGAAATAGGATAAATGAAAACATTTTAAAGAGCTAGCATATGACAGAAATGAGTTGGGGTCATTCTGTAGAGTGTAGAGGGCATGGAAAGTAAAAGTTAAGTGGAGAGAGAATTCAGAGGAACATAAGGAAGGACTTTTTGGCAGTTAGCAACTGTCCAAGAGTGGAGTGACTGCCTTGTATAACAATATGTCTTCTATTCATTGAAAATACCACATAGAAATTACCATTTGGAGACCTGATTGATGAGATTTTTCAGTACTGCTTCAGTGCTGGAACTCAATCATTTACACTTATTTTTTACTTTATTATTTCTTAAAATTTAAATTCCATTATTAACATATGTTATTTGTTTCAGGGGTACAGGTGGTGATTCGTCAGTCATTTATAATACCCAGTGCTCATTATAATATATACCCTCCTCAATGCCCATCATTTATAAAGCAAACCAGAAAAATGATAAATATTTGTTGAA